AAAAAGGCTATTGTATTAAAAGTATTTTCTGTCATTGTCTTGTTCTAGCAGTTGTGACAGAACAAGAAGAAAGGTATTTTCAGACAGCTCTGCAAGTTCAGAGGGGGATTTTGTTGATGGTATTGGTTGGCCACTACAGCTTTTAAAATCTTAATGTAATAATTTATAATGTTTTAATTATTTGCATTGTTAAAGGTATTTTGTATTTTGAAAATGGATCCCAGGAAGATTAGAAACCACTGCTGTGGAAGCTAATGGGGATCCAAAAAGCACAATAGACAATAAACAACACTGTATGTTTGTGTGGACTCCACTATGCCTAACCCATACTCACACCCTAATAGCACATAATAGGGATGCATGTTTTCCAAAATGTCTAACGGGCTATTGACACCCCTTAAAGGTTAATAACTACTAGCTAACCTTATGTGAGGCTTATTGTGTTCTAAGCATGAAAAAAACAAGGATAAACATCTGCCACACAGTGCTCTTTAACCGCATCGTGTTTTAGTACATCTGTTCGGTCATGTGACAAGCTCATTTCTTCTTCTGTGGATGCCCATTGGTAGCGGTTTTCTATCACTCTGTACAAATCACCGACCCTGGATCCAGCAAAACTGCCCCAGACCATAACACTTCATCCTCCATGTTTGACAGTTGACGCCACACACTGTGGAACCATCCTTTCACCTACTCGACGGCGTACAAAGATCCTGCGTGACGAACCAAAGATTTAAAATTTGGATTCATCAGTCCATAATACCTTCTTCCAATCTTCAGTAGTCCAATGGCGGTGTTTCATGGCCCAGGCAAGCCTCTTTCTCTTATTATGACGTCTTAGCAGTGGCTTTCTTGGCCACTAGAACATTTCCGTTCAGCTAGCAGCTCACGTAGTGCGCACACGGTGAGGTTTTACCCCCGTGAGGCAGAAAATATCAAACCGGTCAGATATTCACCTCAGCTTATTGAAGACAATGCTGTGCATTCACCGTTGTTGTTAGTGTTATGTTGGCATTCAGATAGCGTGCCAAACATCAAGATATCGGCCATGAAATAGGCCCCCAAAAAAATCTGCTGCACCTATCGACCATCGACTGACCACGACCGCATCATATCAGTATCTGCAATAGAAAAACTGATATCGGTTGACCTCTAGTGTAGACATCTGAGGAGTGGCAAATAGTAGTAGACAAGTTGGGGTCACTTGGTGTCCTGTATTGGCAGGTTTCAAAAAAAGACGGGGCTTTGGGAGCATGGCGAAATTTGCCATCACGCCATGGAAATACGTTTGCCTCTCATTTCCTCAGTAATCGTGATATTGGCATGTAATTTCTGGTGAGTGATTCTAGTCTGACCCCCAATAGAAATGGATAGGAGAAGTTGGTGGGCGTGGCCTATATTTTGAAATAGCGCCCCCTAGGACCATTAAAACTGTCAGCCCCAACCCATGCTTTGAGGATCACAAAATTTGATACACTAATTTCGTGTCTCAGGACTTACAAAAAAGTCTCTTGGAGCCAAGTGTAAAGTCGCACAGGAGGTCGGCCATTTTGGTCTAAGTACTCGATTTAGTGGTTTTCGCACACGTTGTTTGAAGAATGATGCCCCGTCGCCCTTTACACCGATTGCCTTCACACTTCTGCTATATACTCTTAAGACATAGGGGGAAAATTTCAACCGTCGGATTTTTCAAAAGTTGAAAGGTGTGGGTGTGGCTAAGCCTCAAACATTGACCTTTCGCCATTACATTGGTTGACGTAATTACTCCCATGTGCATGATCAGATCTATATCAAATTTTGTGTAATCACTGACCACATCTCAAGACAAAGACTATGTGGATAGCTGACATCACCTAAGCCCCGCCCCCTGACAACAGGAAGTCGACTGTTTTATGGTGAAATGCCCATATTTGTCCCATCTAATTTAGACACAATGACACTAAGGTCAAGCACTGTCTTCATGATGTTGTAATGACCATTCAGTTCTGATAGCTTTCCAGAATGGGAGGGGCTTTGATGCCATGGCGAATTCTGGCGTGACACCGTGACCTTACGTTTGACTATAACTTCCACAAACAGCCTCCGATCTGCACGAGACTGAATATGACAATCAACAATCACGCCCTTTAGCCAACAAGCAGGGTCTGAAATTAACACTCGCCAAATGCGAGCAAATTGCTCCATTTGGCGAGTACATTTTTGAGCTCTATCTGCCACATGGCGAGTAAATGTTTGCACCAAATTAGTTATGTTTATCAGTCATCTTCCATGGATTTCTGATACTCCTCCCGCCTGCATGCAACGTATACAAACGTACGCGAAACGTGAACGCCGCATCCAACGTCATTTCCACCTATCCCATTCAATCAGTTTATCAAGTTAGCAGTTAGCTTCGTGTTAAAACTAGCGGTGAAATGTGGCGGTTTTTAACTGGAGTCAGCCAGCCTTCCAAAAGAAAACTCGTCGAACTGGAAGAAAAACCACCAGGACCAGTGGCAACCAGAAGATTTTGTGAAAAGTGGCGAACTGGAGATGGCGGAGTCGTGAGACAGGCTACATTATGATGGCCACGTAGCGTTGCTGCCTTTCACAGACACTTTTTCTGCTCGTGCTTTAAACAGGATAGCCATCTTCTATCAGCTGTCCCTCGGCATTCTACAAATATCCAAAAAATGCCCGTACTTCCGACTTTGACTTCTTTGAGGGATAATAAATGTCCCGAGTGCTGCCGTCTCCTCCTGCCATTATTTCAGCTTTAGCTTAAAGAAAGTTTTGTGTGCATGTGCCGCCGGCAACTTCAGCAGATGATACGGTGGCTGGTAAGGGTCACCGCACCTACACCGCAGCCACGGTAATCCACCGAGATAATTTTTTTTTAAAACAAAAGGGTTGTTATTATTAGTAAACTTTTTTTACCGGGGTTTACTGCTACACCGGTTACCGTGACAACCCTAGCCCTGACACTTTCAGATATTCTCATGGTGCAGCTGTGTTCTCCAGAGATCAAGGACTAGGACCCAAATGAGGCTGTAATGCTTTGGCACAAAGACGGTGTCAGAAGCAGGAGGCCAGACTTCATGGACAGAGAAAACAAGGAGTCTGACTAGATTTCAATGAGAGTTCATAAAAACATCTCTAAAAATAAATAAATAAATAAATAGTAAAAATGACAAAAGAGTTGTTTTTCTTATTAATTGATGTTTTCATTATTTTGTCACTCTGTTTGGAATGAACATAATATAGAATAACATGCTTTAGGTAGATCTAAATCATTTAGGATTTTGGCCGGTAAAAGATATGCTTGGCCGGTAGATTTTCATCATCTACCAGCCAACTTGGCCGGTGAGTAAAAAATTTTATTTCGGGCCCTGTCAACGAGGCACAAACGGTTGGTGAACGTAGTATAATATCACCACAGCGCCCCCTATATACCTTTAAAACTGTAATAACTCCTACAGACGAGGTCACAACTGCACCAAACTTGCTACATGTCATCACAGAAAGGCACCCAACACAATCCTGTGGTCACTGGTTGATATCGCTTTAGCTCCGCCCCCTGACAGATATTAGGCCCTGAATAACACATGCATGATTCAATTCACACCAAACTACAAGCAAATGATTGTTGTAAACCTACAAACTGCTCCATGGAATATTTGACAGCGCCTCCTAGATACAATCAAACCTTTGTAATTTCTACAAAAAAGCTCCAAACTATATCAAACATGGTGGGAGTCATCACGCAACTGCAATCTACACAAATATGTGCTCACTCGTTCAAATCACTTTAACTCCGCCCACTTACAGCCTTTTGGCTCCAGATGACCCATGCAACGTTTGATTGATGCCAAATTAACGGAAAACGATCTTTGATGACCAAAGATGACCTCTATGGGATTTAGTTGTAAATGGTCACAGTGCTTCCTAGATAGGTTCAAACTTTATTAACATCTAAAGACAAGGTCAGAATGGCATTATGCTTGGCTTGTGTCATCACGTGACTGCACCAAACACATTGAAGCGGTTGTTGGTTCAAATCCCTTTAGCTCCACCCCCTTTCAGCTCTCTGGCTCTAGAAAGCACACGCAACATCTGACTGATGCAAAACTACCACAAAGCCATCTTTGACTCCCTAAGAGGACCTCAATGGGATTTTTATGTAATTGGTCACAGCGCCCCCTAGATAAGATTAAAAGTTAATTACTTCCTAATACAAGGTCAGAATGGAATTAAACTTGGCTTGTGTCATCACGTGACTGCACCAAACACATTGATGTGGTTGATGGTTCCAACCCCTTTAGCCTCTCTGGCTCTAGATTACACACACAACGTCTGATTAATGCCAAAATAAAAGAAAACCATCTTTGTCATTCAAAGCTGACCTCAATGGGATTTTTATGTAATTGGTCACAGCGCCCCCTAGATAACTTTAACCTTCAATAACTCCAAAAACGTGGCCAGAATAGCATTAACTTTGGTCTGTGACAAAAGTTAACAAAATAAACGAAGCCAATCAGTTCATTTTGTGTTATTAATTTTTGTGCCTTTGAACTGAAGCACACATATCTGACTCTAAAGCTTCCCAAAGACGTTAAAAGCTAATATATTTACCCATTATGGATTTCATAACCTAAATTAAAGACAGTAATTGCACGTGTCTTATAGGTTTTCAGATTTCTTAAGGTTTTGTTGATATCTGCAGACCACGCTTCTCCTACAGCCTGAGATGTGACTGGTTTTTTTTACATCTTCAACCAAATGTTTAAAATGTTTTGCCCTTTCCATTGTCCTAAAGACTGTTGTGAATAAAGAGCTTCTGGGGGATGGCACGTCATGTCAGACACGTTTTTGATTTGAAAAATCAAATATCTGACTTATTCTGTTTACCCATGAAAGCTAATTCATGTGAAATAATCGTGATGCATCAAGATATCAGATCAAATTAAATCATTGACCCAATAACCATAATCCAATAACATAAAGAGTACAAAGAGACTCACCTCATGTTGACGTGGAAGGACTTGGGTTTATTGATCTCAAACCCTCCTGACCACGTACAGTTGGTCATGTCCATGAGGCGCACACACAGCAGCTGGTCGTAGTCATTTCTAGGCCAGTGAAAGACAACGCTCGAGCCGGGCAAAGTGCAGATGTAGCCCTCAGGGTTGAATGTGCCCTACACCACCAGCAGTGAGAGAACATCTTAGTTTATTAACATAGAAACTCGTCCTCACTGATAAAGGCTTTACCTTATAATTAACACACATGGTTAAGCTTCAGTGGTCCTGAACCAAAGTCCCTTTTCCCTTCAGGTCAGATAACATTAGGAAATGACAAAATTCACCAGGAAACTCGGAACATTTTTCAGGTACTGCTTAGTATTTCACAGTCAATGTGTGCTTGCTTCATCCTCCTTGCTTGATGACGTATTGCAAGAGCCACCCTAGAACCGGGCTTCACATGCATCACTTACCGTTCACACCCCAAACCAAACCAAACATTGGAGCTAATCCAACAGTCACTATCATAATTCATGCAGCTGGATGGATGAATGAATAAATAGGTGGGTAAACTGAATAATGGGTATGTAGTAAAATTGAACTTGATGATTGACATTACCACTACAAGTTAATTATGACCAATAAGATGTGATGATTCCATATAAATATGAAATATCAGCCTGATTGATCTTTGAATGTTTAATCAGAAGATTCTAGGCTTCTTTGCTTCTTCAGGGATCATAAACACACTTCGTATTAACTCAGACAGTCAGTATAGTTTATAAAATGAATTTAATTCTTTTCCTACACTAATGATTATACATGACAATATATGAATAATGAGATGTGATGTAATGGGTATGAAGTGATGTAATGTGATGTGTGAAATGTTGTAATGGAAGCTAGATGTTTAGCAAAACCATTTTTTGTATCTGAGAGAATTTGTGAAGTCTGGGTTTTAAAAGAATGTGTTTAATTAAGAGATTTATTCAATTCAATTCAATTCAAGTTTACTTATATAGCGCCAAATCACGACAAGAGTCGTCTCAAGGCACTTCACATAATAAACACTCCAATTCAGGTCAGTTCATTAAGCCAATCAGAAATAATGTTTCCTATATAAGGAACCCAGCAGGTTGCATCAAGACTATACAGCAATCCTCATACTAAGCAAGCATGCAGCGACAGTGGAGAGGAAAACTCCCTTTATCAAAAACTATCCGACGCAATCTGTGTCAAATCTACGCATCCTTTTGTGTGGAGATTCTCGTGCGATCCAGGGGGTCAAGAGGTCGTGCTGGTCACTGCCAGTGTAGTGGATCTCTGATATCAGGAACCCGTAGATTAGATCCGATAGGACCCGTCTAGTCTGAGATGTCTCCAGGTGACGACAGGAAGCTGGAATGCTTGTTTGCGTCTAAGTCTGTTTGTTTGGCTCTTAGAAGAGCCGATAGTCTGATATCAGCAGCAGAGTTGCAGAGAGGCTCAGGTCAAAGGAGATGGTTTCAAAAATGCTTGTTCCCAAATTGGCCGGTTCAAGGGTCAGTTAGAAACTGAATTAATCGGGAAGCAATTCTTGTTTTAATAAACTCGTTATTTATAAATTCTGGCATATTCTGGCAAATCAGAAAGTGCCAAGTCTTGAGGGCTTACCAAAACATTCCTCAGAAGCCACGCCTCCTTCAGATACAAAGGTGTTTAACACTCGTGAATGAGAATGTTTTAAAACACTTATGTGAAGTGAATATTAACATTAATACGTATCTTATTGTAATGTGTATGAGTGTAGATAACTATTAAGCTGATAAATCAACACATACTGATCTGGTCTAGATAAGATCTGAAATGGATCACTGTAAGAGCAATATTCGTTGTAAATTCATTGGTTAAGGCACAGATTATTCAAACATTTGATTTACACATCTTGCTCACTGAAAGCATATGATTATTTAAGCTGTACAGTAAAGTCCTGTCTTCTTGTATGCAAGCACTGAGCAGGACCTTCTGGATTTGGAGGCCAGGCAGATTAGCAGGTTTATGTCTGCAAATGAAGGTTATCTTGAGGTCAATTAGATGGTGAAAAACTGACCCCTTGGATACGTAACATCTAGGTGGGTGGGTGGATGAATTCTCTGGTCATGTACAGTTTTTAAAAGTAGAGTGTACTAGATGAGCCTGACTGCTAACACTTTTGTTCACAATTCCCTATTTACTATGTACTTCCATAGCCCCGCTGACTTCCATTCCTTCTTTCATTCTTCCGGGACCCCATGGTCCGGGAGTAGACGCACATGACTTAGGCTCCCTGAGGTTGTCTTATGCTACTTCTGCAAACCTGCCAACATTGTCAAAATTCTTTAAGTACCACATGTGCAACGTTTTTTTGCACTTTTGGGAACCGTGAGTGGGAACTGGGGGATGGAGAGAGGGGCGGTGGGCAGGACGTAGGGTGAAGCAGGAAGGAGAAGGTGTTACGCTATGGGTTAGGTAGGATTGTTTGTCTCGGGTCGCTGGGTTCCGGGCTCGGCCGGCTGGGGCGTGGGAGGCTGCAGGCGGGCCTGGGATATCTCCCGGGACTCTGCCGGCTGTTGATTGTGGCCCCCCGGGGCAATACTCTGTGCCTCTCGAGAGGGGGCTGGGGCTTTTCTGGTTACAGTCTCCGGGTCCCTGCGCTGTGGGGCAGCTCCTGGATCTCTGGGATCACTGTGATTTATTATCGTGTGATGGTTCAGTAAAACAATGTTGATTTGATATTTCCTCAGCAGGTTGACGCAGTGATAGCTTGCTCTTGTTGTATTGTTGTGTGTTTTTCTCTTTCTGCAGGTCTAGAAGCAGATTCTTGTTCATCATTGATTGTTTATTTTTGCTCAACAACTGATCTCTCAGCTGGTCATCCATCCTTCTCCTTTACAGACAAGAACCCACTAAACTACAGAGAAGCAACGATCGGTCACAGATCGCTGCGATATCTAAACTTTTGCCGTGATTTCTGTCTCACTGCTCCGCAGCTCCGCTGTGACACCTCACACCCGCTGTCACAGAGCAGAGCTTCCTCTGTCCCTCCGCAGCTAAACGCTTCTGAACCATCCTTATCAGCTGAATATGTGAGATTTTCACCAACAGCAAAGGGATCTTTTAATTTTTATGTTCGTGAGCTCATCTTCTCTCAGCTCTCACAGATCACAGAATCACGGTTTTCACAATTTATCTGATGGTCAAAAAAGGTAGCTTAATTATTTTACTAGAACTCCGGTTTAACTGGGGCTATTAACAGAAATAATAACTGCTGTGTAGTTTATTATTATTATTATTATTACTTCTACGGGGATATCTTGGTAATCTGCTGACTTGTGTGCTTCCCGAGGAGTATGCGAGGCTGATCTTCGGAGTGGAGTCCGAACCTCACCACTTTTGGCCTCTTCCTGGGGAATTGCACCCTGCTCCGTCGTCGGAGTCCTTCAAGACTCTGGTATGCTCATTGTCAGGTGGTCTCTGGACGGACCACCGTGCCCTTGAAAAGGGGGGTATGTAACGTGATGAAGGAGCTATTCCACCGAAGGTTATTTACCCTCTCTCCACAGATGCCTCTGACACAGTACTAATCTGCATGAGACTGCCTCAAGGTCATGCATTTGCTTCTAAACTGCTTCCTTTCCAGCTCAAGAGAAGAATGACGATAAAGGACTCTTTCCTTTTAATAAATCAAAGAACTCTATTTTTAATAAGCTAATCAAACAAAGTGTTAGTCAATAATTTAATGTTGACCAATCAGTGAAATGACAATGTTATGATTAATATGCTTTACTAAGTAATATGATTTTAATCTAGCTGCACTAGACATTCTGACTACACGTAATGTAAACGCATGACACATTTTTTACTCATCCAATCAGAACTTTTCTTTCTGAAGCGTGGCATAGTTTCTGTGGTGTTTATAAATCTGCCAACTTTGATTCGACCAGAAATCAAAACATCCAGATTAATAAAACCAGTCCCCACGACATCTTAGTTCAGTTCTCATCAGTTCTCAACAGTTTACTGGAGTTCACTGCAGTTCACCGCATGCCAAGATCAGTGTTGGACCGGCCACCCGGACTTCCTTTTAAAGCAAAGAACCAACAAGCTGGATAAAATCTGTTGCATTTTACCAACTAAGCAACAGTTCCTTTCAGAATAAAAGCTGAACTCACTGACCCAAGGGGGTCCATCTGACGCTGTGAACCAACTGTTGCTTTTTATCTGGAGACAACCCAAAGACTGGTCTGTCGTATTGCTGACGCTGTTTCATCGGCTCCGGTACCGAAAGGGGGGTTCGAGGACCTGGCATTCTGGATCTGTACGGAGGTCTCATCTGAAGGGTATGTGCAGAGCGACAAGATGGCGTCTCATGTGTTTATGAAACTCCGATCATACTCCAATCATAGCTAAAGCAAAACATCACAACATCATTCAGACTTGCTTCTCCGGATACGAGAGTTCTGATTACATCACTCACACATACACCATCCATCTCACGTCTCATTCACACCAGATCCATTCATCAGTTAGAGTTCCAGTTAATATTGTTTAAAATTGTTTAGAAATAAATCTTCTTAAACGTTTTAAGGGTGACTCTCTCTTCTCTTGTCTCTCAGTTAATACAAGTGTTACATAATCCCTGCAATAAAAAGTTCAAATCTTCTGGTTAAAATAACCCAAAGGTCCGTAAGATTGATTTCATATCTACTATGGAATCTCATGTCTTACAGTTCCTTAAATAGATGTTAAACACTTTACATTTATAATCCACATTTTAAACATAAATTGAAACCGTAGCTCAGAGAGGCATCCCAAAGGTGTGTTTTCATTGGTCGATTGCAGACATGAGTCGTAGGTTTTACAGCATGTTTGCAGACTGTCGGGAGACCAATTTGGGTCATGGGACGGCTCAAAAAGCTGTTGCAGAGCCGGTCACACTAGACAACCACAGATTTGAAAATCACTCTCATGTTCACCGTTTTTTTACATGATTGTGCTCCCGACGAGGGATCTGGTTAAGATGGCCGAAAATCGCAAAGTGTGATGCGGGCCCTAGATGTTCCTGGAGAGGGAGGAAGATTACACCTGACCTGATGGATAAAACAGTAACAATCACACACTTCCGCTCTCACATAACTCATAAACACAACCAACCTAAAATACCCAAGGACCAAGGTCATGCCACCAATCACACTGGTCTCGTTCTTACTGGGGTAACGATGAGCTGAGCACCCCCTCAATGCAAGGCAAAGTGACCCACTACCACGGCCTGCTCCCAGCCTCGTGCAGTGAACAGAGAACAGCAGCACTTGCAGAGAGAGCACCCACTGAATCTGTCTCACCTTTCCTCTTGCAAACTCCCTCTGAGCAAAAGCCAGTTTGTGCGTGGAGCGGTTGTCCAGGAGGTATCGAGGGGCAAAGGTCACAATGTGAGTGTCTCTGTAGTTCCCCTTTCCTTTACGCACGCTGATGCCTGTGGGAATCAGAGACATTCATGGCTGGTGGACCAATCAGCAAGTCTGAGAAGTGGCCAGCTCTGTTTACTGTAACTCCGGCTGCTGTAACAACAGAACTGTAAAAACGTACCTATATTGTAGATGAGGCCCGGCCGGTTTCCCTGCTGGATCACTTTCACTGCTCTAACTCCACTTCCTCCATCCAAGGAGAACCCTTGACACCAGCCTGGAACCCCATCTGGGTGGATACCTTTACCCACACGCATTGTGCACCTGGAACCAAGACATGGTGGTAAAAACTAGGGGTGCACCTATTGCCCCATCACTGATCTTGAAAAGAAAACAGAGATCGGGGCCGATAGCTCGGTGCACCCTTAGTAAAACCTGAACACAGAATATCCTGCTTGAGAGGAACATAATTTGTTGGTAAGGACCACACACTCACATAGAAGGCTGCTCCTTGTCCGTGTACGAGAAGAGTAACGGACTGAGACTTCGAGCCAACTCATGCTCCTCAAATTGCCCCGCTGCATCAGCCTTGCCATTGTCCTGACGGAAAATGACCGGCAACCCTAACAAATGAAAAATATTTTTAAAAAAAGGAAGAATTTACTTTTATTCCACAGAATCTGACTTTTTCCTATACCAGTTTGAGCATCTTCAAGCTAAAGAACTAATTCAGTGGAAAAAAGTCCAACTTCCTTAGACCTTCAAGTCTGAATTGTTTCCACTGCTAGACACGTTGTAAGTCAGCGACTCAACGTAATCCGCTGGCTTTCTCACCTTTAGCTGGCAAAATAAACCAAACTCAATGGATGGTAAGTAGGTTCAATTGGAATGTTTACTTTGTGAACTAGAGGCTGGCCGACATGGCCTTAAAAAGGCAGAAGCTGATTTCTAAAGCTGATTATTAAGGTTGATATAAACACGTTTTAGCAGCACATTGACTGTGAAAGATCACTGTGTGCAATTTAAATACGTCAATAAATCTCTTTATATTTATTGAACTTATAATATAAAACAAACTCTAAACATCAAAAAGAATGGTGTGTTGGGGTCCGTCGGGTCCTTTCTTCAGTCTAATGGGCCATTCCCATCTGTACCGGGTCGGCCCGGGCCGGGTAGCGTAGGTTGTTTACATATCTGGGTGGCCTGGTATTTTTCCGGGCCAACCAAGGCTCATTCTCAGCCCTCTTCTGGAGGGGGTCTGCTTCAGGCCGACCAGGGCCAACACACCCACTGCTGACAGCAAATTCACACCTTCCATTAGAGCAAGCCTCTGATTGGTGGGTAGAATCAGCCCACATGGGCTTAAGGCAAGGATGTGTGGAATCAACCGGGCCAGGCTGGGGCCGACTGGGGCTACCCGGCCCGGGCCGACCCGGTACAGATGGGAATGGCCCATAATAGTGGTGGCAGTTGGCCACACAGGTGCCTGAATTTTTTTTTTTTTAAATCGGCGTTTAAAAATAATTTCGGTTGATGGTCGATATAGAAGAAACTGAATATATCAGCTGGCCTCTATTGTGGCTTCAGTGCTCTTGTTGTGATTTGATGCAACATAAATTAACTTCATTAAATAAACTAAATAGCTACTTATCTAGTTTAACCAAACTTCCAGTGCTTTACACTAATCATCACATACAGGTCCTACATTCTTGACCTGTGGATGGATAATTAGCTTTTTTTTCATTCGCACAGCAAGACAACAAACAAGTTTTGCAGCTCGTACGATAACATTACCAGTCTTGTTGACGAGCCAGTAGGGGGCAGAAACGAGGATCTTCAGTGCTCCTTGAGCTCGCAGGACGATGCGGATAGTTAAACACAGGAGGCGTTTGCTGGTGTCATACAGCCTCATGCGCACCACATAATTCTGAGTGCCGGGAGGAATCAGCAGCTCTTTGCACACGGGGAAACTCTCCAGCAACACTCCTAAAACATAGCAAGAGCCTCATGAAAACATGTGAATGATTAGGACCAATACCAGGGTCAATTACCGAGAGAAGACTGGCTGACCAAGCTCCATGTTCTGTGAGGTATCAGCAGAGTGAAGCACTGCCTCTTTCCCTGGCTTCAGCAAGCCTTTGATAGCAGTTCCTTTAATGTAGAAGTTAAGATCACACGGTAGCACGTTTACAAGAACCATGGTAGGCATCAGGTAAACGGTGTGACCCGGCTGCTGATAGATATGATGCACACTTCCAGAAACCTGCCTCTTAGCGGGCTGCTGGTCTGGGTAGTTCTCCTTCTTGATGACCACACAAAACCTGCAAAATAGAGAGGAATGCCAGAAAAATGCGGGGGGTGGGGGGTAGATAGGGGTTACTAAAGCAATAACAACGGCTCAGCGACCACAACTCTTGACAGGTAGCAGGTAAAAAAGCTGGTGTAGGGGGGGTAGACAGAAAGCTTCACAGAGTTTCACCTGTTTTATCTACCTGAAGTTACGTTTGAGGCTGTCATCAAAGTCAGCCAACTGGCACTCCCTCTTACTGCTGCTAATCTCTCCAGGCCGATCCACACTGGTCCAGTGAATGGGAACCTTACAGAAGAACATGCCCATGTCTTTGGGCCGGGCCTGCAGTCTCCAGGATGTCAGATGGAGAGGAATGGCCAAAGCCTGGCTAGGTGGGATTGGGGGTAACACCACTGGTTCTGTCCAAGCATAAACAAAAGATACAACACATGGTGTAAAAAAACAAATCTACTTAGTTCAATAGGGTCATCTAAGCCAGGGGTGGGAAATGCTGGTCGTCGAAGGCCACTATCCAGCAGGCTTTAGTTTTTTCTCAGCTATAGCACACCTGGTTTGAATCAGCAGGTGATTAACAGGCTGCTGCAGAGCCTGATGAGCTGCTGAACAGGCGATTCATCCAGGAATCCATTGTGTTGGCGCAGAAAAACTAGTAAAACATGCTGGACAATCAACCAGAGTCAGGCGCGTTGAGAAGGCCATTGGTGATTTTGGGAAGTGCTGACTCAGAGCTGTGAAGATGACGGAAGTCCGACTGAAACTGTTTGAAGAACTCAGAGGACGAGTTTAGGATCATTTCAAGATGGGGCCAGTGCTGGCTTGCCATCTGTTGCCGCCCATAACTTTTACATTTGTGTTGCACTTTGCTCGTGTTTTACGACGTGCGCACTCTGTGCTCGTTTATGATTGCCAAAACCAGGGGCACTGCCTGCTGCTGGCTGTGGCCCCCCGGGACGACCCTCTGTGCCTCTCGAGGGGGGCGGGGGCCTTTCTGGTTGCAGTCTCCTTGGGGTTCCTGTGTTCTGGGGCAGCGCCTGGATCTCTGGGACCTGGAGCTCCCCCCGTCTCCTACACATCTTTGGGGGGCGGATCTGTGGTCCCTCACACTCTCTATTGGACGCTCCTACAGAGAAACCTTACATAAACAAGCGCGTGTACACACACAGGTGCTCACATGGTGCAATATCAACCTGAGGAAATTCAACAATCTTTTATATCATACTACACAAACCTTTATAGCCAACCCCCCGGAACTGATAAATCAAATGTTGAGACATATTTAAATGCCTTGGACTTGCAGTCTATAGGCACAGAACAAAATAAAACACTAACCGAAACAATCACAGAAGATGAAATACACAAAATTATTTCTAAACTAAAATCAAATAAGATGCCACACCTAGACGGTTTTCCTTCCGAGTGGTACAAACACTTCAGACAGGTTTTAACACCTTTATCATGTCAATGCTTTAACCATATACTGGAGGGAGGAACGCCTCCAGCATCCTGGAAATATGCCCTGATATCAGTGGTATTTAAACCGGGGAAGGAAAAGTCAGAATGCAGCTCGTGTCGTCCCATCTCTGTATTAAATTCAGATTATAAAATATTTGCTTCGATCTTATCGAAACGTCTAGAAAATATCTGACCTCAGCTCATAGACATGGATCAAACAGGCTTTCTTAAAAGTAGACAAACCCACGACAACGTGAAAAGAGCCTTTCAAAATATTTATTACATAAAAAATACTCAGGCAGGAATGCTTAGCCTTGATAGAGAAAAGGCCTCTGATTCAGTTGGATGGGAATTTCTGTTTGAAGTACTCAAGAGATTTGGATTTAATAATCAAATAATAGGCTGCCTCAAAAATTGATATGACTCACCGGTAGCTGAGATAAAGATAAACGGAGACCTAACCAAGCCCTTTCCTTTGGACAGAGGATAGAGACAAGGATGCCCCCTAGGTCCGGCCCTGTTTGCATTATACATTCAACACCTCGCGCAGTCCATTCGAGACTGTGAGGAAAGTGCAGGGGTATCCATCCTGAACGAACTATATAAAATTTGTTTATATGCCGATGATGTCTTGTTGACCCTAGCAAATCCAGACCAGAGCATACCAGCTCTAAGACAAACACTCAAGATATTCAGCAGTCACTCAGGCTACAAATTAAATCTCCATAATACACACCGTTAATTATAAGCCACATAAACACAACGTTTAAAGGGCAATTGGAACAATCAAGTTATAAAATACCTTGTGATTTAATTTCCTAGATTATTAACCAACCTATTTGCATCGAAGCTAGTTTATCCAGATGGCAACTGTTACTATTAAACATGTACCATAGGATTGACTTAATAAAAATGACAATATTACCAAAACTACTCTTCCTCTTTTTGCACTACCAGTAGAAGTTCCCCCTATCCAGTTTACAAAATGGAATAGAATGATTTTGAAATTGATTTGGGGAAAACTGAGACCAAGGATCAGAGCGGAAACCTTGAAGCTGCCCAAAAATAAAGGCGGACTAGCAGTGCCATCCTTAGAAAGTTATTACCAAGCTGCTCAGCTGAAAACGTTACTAGCTTGTTGTGATCCAAACAATGATGCTAAATGGAAAGACATAGTTCAAAAAGAAACACACCTTCCTTTGTCAGCCATGGCGGGTGACAGATTCATAATGCAGTCATTAATGAAAAATAACCCACATCTGATAAAAGTGCCACTCACCATCTGGCTGAAAAAAAATTTAAATAGCAAAATTGAGACAGACACAAAAATATTACGCTGTCCTTAGTAGTAGTAGTGTGCTTATGACTCAAATCTCCTACCCGCAAAATTAGATTCAAGATTTAAACTGTGGGCTGAGCAAGGCGTCACCGCCTATTGGGAAATAATAACGGATGGAGGGTTAAACAGCTTTCAACAGATGGTAACAAAGTATAACTTATATTAGACCTTTTTAGATACCTCCAACTTAGACATTATAAACATAACTTCAAAGTCAATGAAATTCATCCTCTCGTCGAAACAGGTAAAGGAAATCTTAACCCAAAACAAACAGTTTACTCTATTTTAATGATGGAAAAGAGAAATTCTACAACGAACATCAAACTCAAATGGGACTAGAACTGCAAGCAGTTATCAACGGGTTCCAAGCCACCAGCGCCAGTCGCCCACCCGTCCCCGCCCTCAACTTCCCCCCTCCTCACGCAGCCCCGCCCCAAAGACACGTTCTCCCGCCGGCGTCCCGTCCTATTTTTAGGGTGCAACGAGACTGTTTTTCAGCCCTCTTTCTGAGGGGGTCTGCTTCAGGCTGACCAGGGCCAACACTCCCCCTGCTGACAGCATATTCACACCTTCCACTAGAGCAAGCCTCTGATTGGTGGGTAGGATCAACCCACATGGGCTTATGGCATGCTCAATTCATTCTCATTCATTATCATGCTGATTACCTAGAACCTAAAAATGTATCTGACTGCATTCCTTCCATACCTAAGCAAGGATGTGTGGAATCAGCCGGGCCAAGCTGGGGCCATCTGGAGCTATCCGGGCAGGATCGACCAGGTACAGATGGGAATGGCTCTAAAAGGTTGAAGGATCGATCCCAACTTTGACCAGAATGTGACATAAGCTCCAGCCTACCCAGTTAACACAACCTGAAAATCTTAGCCTCTTACATGCAAATAATGATTTTTAGGAAATTTTTCAAATTTGAAATTTTAAATGATCATAAACCATGCCCACTTTGATCAATCATTATCATATTGATAATGTAGTCTTACGACTCTATAATAATGACAACCACTAAGTTTCGTGCAGATCCATTTAGCCAGTTCAGCAGTATAATGTCTTCCTATTTATAGCGCCCCCTATTGTTGAATGAAACTGAAAGTCAAGATATCCACTTGAATTGACCTTAGGTATGGTGGTTATGAATAGCTTTGAAAAATGTCCAAATCTTTTGAAGTTATGCTAAAAAAACTGTTTCATTCCCCCAAAATTATTTTAAAAAATCATATAAAAACAAAGAAGCAAATTATCCAAAATCCCTTCACATCGTTTGGTCAGCCGCTCCTCCTCTCTTGTCAGGGAAAGTAGTGATGTGATTGTGTTGGACGGCCGGGAGGAGTTAACGAAAGTACGTTTGACTTACTATGCAAATTTCTACTAATTAGCATAAGTTTAAATTATTTTTTAAAATACTCACCTAAATTTGACTGAATCAATGAACATACTGGATGAGACCCTTTGTTTTTTTACCAATGTAATGGGGAGAAACATGCCATAAACATTTTTGGGGTACAACAGCGCCATCTATTGGACAAAATTCTAATTTTTTTCTGTGATTGTAGATGTCACTATGACTGGTTTGATTTGTAACTTTCTGTACAGAATATATATTTTTCATGAGTAAAAGGGCAAAAACTTTTAAAGCCTATTTATAGCCTATAAGCCACACCCACTTTTTAATCATTTTCTAAATATAGTGTAAGGGTCCAATGATAAACATATCTGCCAAGTTTTGTGGAAATCCATCAAGCTGTTTTGCTGAAACAAACTTTTTGAATCTTTAGCGCCCCCTATTGGTGAATCCAAACAAAATTACGTAGGTAGGGTTTATCGCTCATACTTTGTAAGGGTCTAGAGTCTCATCATTTTATCTTGAAAATTGTTGAAGATATAATCAATTAGGACATGTGCTAGCTAGCGCACTGAATTTGACATGGTGTCATTAACCCAATTTTCAATAATTCCACATTTTTCTTCATCACAACAACTTCTCTTCCTCCATAGATCATATGTTCAAAGGTTGAAGTTGATTTGACGAAAAATGACGAATAGGTGATTAAAACTACGTTTTGCGTTTTTTGAGATCTAGCAAAAAATCTAGTTAGGCGGAAATGGGCGTGGCCAATACAGAAAAGATGCAGAATCATCCAAGGATCATGTCCATATAAAGTTTTTTGACTGTAGAGCCTATGGTTTGGGAGCTAGTAGCTCAAACGTATTCACCTCCGCAATAGCGCCATCTAGGTGATTCGGGGTCCAAATTTTCGAACCTGAGTAGCGGTCAGGATTTTCTATCAGACTGCCATATCAGATTTTTCCTGGCAATTTCAGGCTCTTGCCCCCATACAGTATTAGCGGAGAAGAAGAATAATGAAAAATCCGTAGAAAAACAATAGGGTTCCAATGCCCTTTGGGCTTGGAACCCTAAAAAAGAGGCTAACTTAACACGGCCAGACGCTGACTGGTCTAACATATGCAAGACTGTTAGAACTACTACCTGTTCAGAGGAATGGAGGGAGTTTTCCTGGAGGAATACTACGAGATCTCTCATTACTCCTAAAATAAAGGAACTCCAAAGCAAAAGTACTTCACTCGGGAGATGCTGGAGAGAATGTGGCCATGTCTAACCGTAACCCATGACATGTAACCCAGTAACAGGTTTATATATATGCACAATATTTCTAACATTGTTTGCTTCGTCCATTTATGGCAGAAAGTGGGTGTGTAGGAGGCGGGACGTGATCCAGCATCTTACTGTCAGGTGCAGAAGGGCTGTCGAGCCGAACCTCCATCAGAACATCCAACTTGTTCTTCACCATGAGGGCAGAGCGCACTGTGATGACCTTCCTGGCACTACCTTCCATAGTGATGGCAAAGACCACTCTGACAGGGGGCAGGGCTGAGAACTGAAGGTCCAAAAGCAACAGAGCGAGGTATCAGTACAAAACTGATTTGCTGAGCCCTATCTAAAGGGTTCAGTGGTACTTCAGGCAGGCCAACTAGAGGAAGTTGCTCTCTGCAGAAGTCTCAAAAGACTTACATAAACATGAGGGTGGATTATGTTGGTCTTGCTGACTGGGCTGCCAACCTGTGAGAACAAGTTTTATCATCAACAGAACACAAAACACCCTTCAAAGCAATAGTGAGCACTAGTGTGAAAGAAAAGAACAGAACAATGAATAACGAGCCAGTGCTCACAGTGTTAGAGGAATAGTTTCTGTCTGGAGTGGCATATCTGAAGAAAACGCCCACTTTGTCCACCGACACCGGCTTGACCTGCTCCCATCCACACACTTGGACTAATAGCTGGTGAAGTTTCAGCTCGTGTGTGTGTCTGCAGGGGAGGAAGTAGAAAGAAATAATTACAATGAAAAAGTTAGACACTCAGTTTTCACTCTGGATAGTTACAGGATCATGTTCTTGGTTCATAATGAGTGTCTTTCCAGCTGTCAGAAGATATGTGGAGGCAGTGAGTAGAAGTAGTCATTGTAGTTTAAATTAGTAGTAAAAATATAGATTCAGACCTCTATGTCTATAAGAAAAGATCCCAACTGACGCTGGAGGCATCAGCAGTACGAACGGCAGTGGAACATCTTTGCTTCAAGTATAATCCATTATAGCCCATCAGATGATCACCACACAGGTGAAGATAGGATCGGGTTGTATTATTGTGATGAGCCACTTCTGCAGGGTGGCCGTGGGGTCTTACAGTTTAAAAACAGCTTTTAGGACCTTAAAGTATTACATTTCCAAAAGAAGGCATTAATGTTTAGACTTTTTAATGTTATTTATTGTTTTTAATAGGTAACACTTAGAATTTGTCATAAAGAGATGTTAGATTTGGTATTTCTAAATAAAACAATAAAACAAGGTGAAGTGACACTGCACGTGTTGCCATGGTTACCAGCCAAGATTAGGGACAGCTGCATTCCAGGTCTGTTTCTCTATGCATACTTTTATTCTCTTCCCCCCCCCCCCATCTGGTCTTTGGAACGTCTAGAAGGTTCTGGTGGGTGGACCTGAGGGCTCGGGTTGGAGCATCAGGCTTTAACAGTTCAGTAAGAGCTTGACCATGTAGAGCCCTGAAGGTTCTAGTCAGGACTCTAAATGAACTCTAGAGTTAACGGGTAACCAGTGCAGAGACTCCAGAACAGGAGTGATGTGTGCTCTTCTGTTTGCTCCAGTTAGGAGCCTCGCTGCAGAGTTCTGGACCAACTGAAGGCGGTCAAGGGCTTTTTGTTAAAATATGTTGTGTGTTACAGTAATCTAGATGGGAGGAGATAAATGCATGGTGAACCATTTAAAGTTCATGTTTGATATCAAACTTCGCAGTTTGGAGATATTTCTTAAGTGATAAAAACTCCTCCAGGCCGTCACCTTATCGTGGTGGAGGAGTTTGAGTGCCCTAATGATCCTAGGAGCTATGTTGTCTGGGGCACTTAGTGCCCCTGGTAGGGTCTCCCATGACAAATTGGTCTTAGGTGAAGGGTGAGACAAAGAACGGTTCGAAGGATCTTTCATGGCGGTGAAAACGAAGAGTCGGAGTACCCGGCCCGGAGGGTTACCGGGGTCCCACCCTGGAGCCAGGCCTGGGGTTGGGGCCCGTGAGCGAGCGCCTGGTGGCCGGGCTTTCGCCCATGGGGCCCGGCCGGGCCCAGCCCGAACCGGATACATGGGCTCGTCCAACTGTGGACCCACCACCCGCAGGAGGAACATGAAGGGTCCGGTGCAATGTGAATCGGGTGGCAGACCAAGGCGGGAGCCTTGGCGGTCCAATCCCCGGACAAGAAAACTAGTTTTTGGGACATGGAACGTCACCTCGCTGGCGGGGAAGGAGCCGGAGCTTGTGGCAGAGGTTGAGCGGTACCGGCTAGATATAGTCGGACTCACCTCGACACATTGCATTGGCTCTGGAACCCGAGACCTGGAGAGGGGTTGGACACTCTACTTTGCTGGAGTTGCTCCGGGTGAGAGGCGGAGGGCTGGGGTTGGCTTTTTGTTAGCCCCGAGACTCTCTGCCTGTGTGTTGGGGTTTACCCCGGGGGACAAGAGGGTAGCTTCCTTGCGCCTTCGGGTCGGGGAACGGGTCCTGACTGTTGTTTGTGCTTATGGGCCAAATATCAGTTCAGAGTACCCACCCTTTTTGGAGTCCCTGGGACGAGTGCTAGATAGTGCTCCATCAGGGGACTCCATTGTCCTGCTGGGGGACTTCAATGCTCACGTGGGCAATGACAGCTTGACCTGGAGGGGTGTGATTGGGAGGAACGGCCCACCTGATCAGAACTCGAGCGGTGTTTTGTTATTGGACTTCTGTGCAAGCCGCAGTTTGGCCATAACGAACACCATGTTCGAACATAAGGATGCCCACCGGTACACTTGGTACCAGGGCAGCCTAGGTCACAGGTCGATGATAGATTTTGTAGTCGTATCATCTGACCTGCGGCCGTATGTTTTGGACACCCGAGTGAAGAGAGGGGCGGAGCTGTCAACTGATCACCACCTGGTGGTGAGTTGGATCAGATGGCAAGGGAACATGCCGCGTAGACCTGGCAGACCCAAACGCATAGTGAGGGTCTGCTGGGAACGCCTGGCAGAAGAACCTGTCAAGACGGTCTTCAACTCCCACCTCCGGCAGAGCTTTGACCACGTCCCGAGAGCAGTGGGGGACATTGAGTCCGAGTGGGCCTTGTTCCACTCTGCGATTGTCGAGGCGGCTGTTGCTAGCTGTGGTCGTAAGGTGGCCGGTGCCAGTCGTGGTGGCAACCCCCGTACCCGCTGGTGGACACCAGAGGTTCGGGGAGCCGTCAGGCTGAAGAAGGAGGCCTACAGGGCGTGGCTGGTCTGTGGGTCTCCGGAGGCAGCAGACAGGTACCGGATAGCCAAGCGGGGTGCAGCAGTGGCAGTTGCCGAGGCAAAATCTCGGGCGTGGGAGGAGTTTGGTGAGGCCATGGAGAAAGACTATCGATCGGCTCCAAAGAGGTTCTGGCAAACTGTCCGGCGCCTCAGGAGAGGAAGGCAGCAACTCGCTCACACTGTTTACAGTGGGGATGGGGAGCTGCTGACGTCAACTGAGGCTATAGTCGGACGGTGGAAGGAATACTTTGAGGAGCTCCTCAATCCCACCAATGCGCATTCCGAGGAGGAACCAGAGCTGGGAGGCCTGGGGATGGACTGTCCGATCTCGGGGGCAGAAGTTGCTGAGGTAGTCAAACAACTACACAGCGGCGGAGCCCCGGGGGCGGATGAGGTTCGTCCTGGGTATCTCAAGGCTATGGATGTTGTAGGGCTGTCATGGTTGACACGTCTCTACAACATTGCGTGGTCATCGGGGGCAGTTCCTAGGGAGTGGCAGACCGGGGTGGTGGTCCCCATCTTTAAGAAGGGTGACCTGAGGGTGTGTTCCAACTATAGGGGGATCACACTCCTCAGCCTCCCTGGAAAGGTCTACGCCAAGGTACTGGAGAGGAGGGTCCGATCGATAGTTGAATCTCAGATAGAGGAGGAGCAATGTGGTTTTCGTCCTGGCCGTGGAACTGTGGACCAGCTCTATACCCTTGCAAGGGTGATGGAGGGGGCATGGGAGTTTGCCCAACCAATCCACATGTGCTTTGTGGATTTGGAGAAGGCTTATGACCGTGTCCCCAGGGGCACCCTGTGGGGGACGCTCCAGGAGTATGGGGTGGGTGGCTTTCTGTTAAGGGCCATTCAGTCCCTTTACCAGAGGAGCGTGAGTTTGGTCCGCATAGCCGGTAGTAAGTCGGACCTGTTCCCAGTGAGGGTTGGACTCCGCCAGGGCTGCCCTTTGTCACCGGTTCTGTTCATCACTTTTATGGACAGAATTTCTAGACGCAGCCGTGGTGTGGAGTGTGTCGAGTTTGGTGGCAGGAGAATCTCGTCTCTGCTTTTTGCGGATGATGTGGTCCTCCTAGCTTCATCCAGCTCTGACCTTCAGCTCTTGCTGGGTAGGTTCGCGGCCGAATGTGAAGCGGCTGGGATGAGGATCAGCACCTCCAAATCTGAGACCATGGTTCTCGACCGGAAAAGGGTGGCTTGCCACCTCCGGGTCGGGGGAGAGGTCCTACCTCAAGTGGAGGAGTTTAAGTATCTCGGGGTCTTGTTCACGAGTGAGGGTAGGAGGGATCGGGAGATCGACAGGCGGATTGGTTCGGCGTCTGCAGTGATGCGGACGCTGAGCCGATCTGTCGTGGGGAAGAGGGAGCTGAGCCAGAAAGCCAGGCTCTCGATTTACCGGTCGATCTACGTCCCAATCCTCACCTATGGTCATGAGCTTTGGGTAATGACCGAAAGAACGAGATCGCGGATACAAGCGGCCGAAATGAGTTTCCTCCGTAGGGTGGCCGGGCTCAGCCTTAGAGATAGGGTGAGGAGCTCGGACATTCGGGAGGGACTCGGAGTAGAACCGCTGCTCCTCCGGATCGAAAGGAGCCAGTTGAGGTGGTTTGGGCATCTGGTCAGGATGCCTCCTGGACGCCTCCCCGGGGAGGTGTTTCGGGCATGTCCTGCCGGCAGAAGGCCCCCGGGTCGACCCAGGACACGTTGGAGAAGTTACATCTCCAATCTGGTCCGGGAACGCCTTGGGGTCCTGCCGGAGGAGCTGGTGGACAAGGCCGGGGAGAGGACGGCCTGGAGCTCCCTAGTTGGGATGCTGCCCCCGCGACCCGGACCCGGATAAGCGGAGGAAGACGACGACGACGACGACGATAAAAACAGGAGATGACGTTATATTTTATACATATAAGTTTCAATATAAATATATAACAAGCCTTTTACTTTTTAAATTGTGATTAAGTGAGTTACTACCCACTAGCCACCGCAGCTGCAACTACTAAGCAACTAACCAACCATAGATAACTTCATTGGATCTAAAAAAAACATTTAAAACTAGTTGACTTACTTGTAACCCTCTGGAGGCAGGCGTTGCAGATTAGCAACGTTAAAACCTACCTACCTAGTTACTCCACATACATCCTTCTCTTTGCCATATACACCACCTCACTGGGTGAGATCATTCGATCACATGGCTTCTCCTACCACTGCTATGCAGACGACACCCAGCTCTATCTGTCATTTCCACCGGACGACCACACTGTCTCAGCACGAATATCAAACTGTCTCTCTGACATATCAGAATGGATGAAATCCCACCATCTCCAACTCAACCTCTCTAAAACTGAATTACTTGTCATCCCAGCAAAACCATCCATACAGCACAATATCTCAATCCAGAATGACTTCCTATCTCTGGCTCCTTCAAAGGCAGTTGGAAATCTGGGTGTTGTGATTGATGAACACCTGAGCTTTAAAGATCATGTTGCCTCTGTTGCTCGTTCATGCCGCTTTGCACTGTATAACATACGAAAGATCAGACCATACCTAACACAACATGCCACCCAGCTCCTGGTGCAATCTACTGTCATCTCCCGCCTCGATTACTGCAATGCCCTTCTAACTGGTCTTCCAGGCTGTACTGTGAGACCTCTTCAGATGGTCCAGAACGCAGCGGCGCGTCTGGTCTTCAATCAGCCTAAAACAGCTCATGTCACCCCTCTGTTCATGGAGCTCCACTGGCTACCGCTAGCAGCACGCATCAAATTCAAATAGCTAACACTAGCATACAAAGTCTGAGACGGTACGGCTCCCATCTACCTGAATCCTCTTGCAAAGGCTTACGTCTCGGCCCGGCCGCTCCGGTCATCACAGGATGGTCGGCTAGCAGTGCCTACACCACGCTCAGGACAATCCAGACTCTTCTCATGCATCGTTCCACAAATGTGGAATGACCTACCAAGCACTACCAGAACAGGAGCTTCCTTTTCAATTTTCAAGAAACTCCTGAAGACCCTGCTCTTCAGAGAGCATCTTCTAAACTAGCACCCTCCCCGCACCCATCCCCCTCTCTACTGTCCACTCCTTGTTCCCTCCTCTCCATGACTGATGTCAAGTTGTTGTTATTGTTGCTGTTAGCCTCAAGGGCAACATGTTGATTATCGCTTGTAAGTCACGTTGGACAAAAGCGTCTGCTAAATACATAAACAAACATATTTCATGAGCATTTTTTTACTCAGAAGTACCCCTGAAGGACTTAGTTGTTCGTTTTTTTATCAAAACTTATTTTGAGCCTGAGAAGGTTAAAAATGAAATTTGCTCCCGAAGTAGCTGCCGGCTTTTGATCCGCCATCCTTTTTTAAATACAACGGTGTATTGTGGGTAATTTTTGACCAAGGCTAGGCTACAAGACACCTCCCGTGTATCCTTGCTCAGCTAGCTAAATGGCTAACAAATGGAGAACACACGCCTCGGTAGAACATGAACACTGGAACACGTCTTGTCGGCTCCTGATGACGTATCTCCTAGGCAACCGGGGCGGGGCCAAGACGAGGTTCCTTGGCACTGAGAAAAGGTAAGATCTAAACCAGTCTAGAACAGTTCCAGAGATCCCCACCGAGTCACCAAGTCTGGTTAATGAAGGTGCTGGGATCAACAGTGTCAAAAGATCTAACATTACTAACAGCACTGGAAACTTTAAGCTAAGCTGTTTCTGTTGAACGCATTTTTAGCAAAACCAGTTTGGAATTAATCAAAACTGTTGTGTAGTTCCAGAAAAGTAATCAGCTGCTCTGCCACAACCTTTTCCAGTATTTTAAAGATAAAGGGTCGTTTAGAAATGGGTCAGTAATTTTTAGGCTGATATGAGTCCTAACTTGTTTTTTAACTCATTCACTGCCAGCTTTTTTTCTGCATGTTTACTGTTTTTTAACGAGTCACAGTACAGTGCGCTCTATGATGATGTCAACGCCTAAACTAACAAAACAAAGAGCAGACTCACCTCTCACATCTGGAAGAATCCGCGTTTCAAGCGATATCCATTCTTTCATAATCCAAACGTACACAACTCTTACAACCAAATCATTTTAGCCGGTAATTTTAACTTACATGTGGATAATCTTTTAGACCCTTTATTGATTGATTTTTTAGCCAACACGTCACACAGCCTACTCATAACAGATGGCACACCCTAGACTTGGTCACCACGCATGGCCGGTCTACCCGTGTGCTCTGTTGTTGACTTGGCTGTCTCTGTTGCGTGTTTTTTAATATCACCCGTTTCACCCAGCGGGAGACCTCTGTGAGAACTGTCAGGAAACGTCATCTAACCCCTGAAGTGGCTGCAGGATACCTCCTATTGCTTTACCTGCTCCCTGTGATTTTATAGTGAACTACTCTAACAGCAGGCTTCAGTCCACCCTGGACCGTCTGGCTCCACAATACAGCCTAGACTAACATTCCCATGGAGGAACTAAGCTTTCAGAATCCAAGAGGAACTGCAGGGTGGCAGAGAGAAAATGGGAAAAAAAATCACTATAAACTATCAGATATACAGATAAACTCTAAAGTCATACAACAATGCAGTAAGGAACTCAAGGTATGAATACTTTTCCTAAATCATCTCAGAAAATAAAAACAATCCTAAAATCCTGTTTTCCACTATCAAAAGTTTTTAACAACACCCCTGATGCATCTCAGGAAACACCATCAAGCTCTCTTTGTGAGGAGTTGGCAGACCACTTCAGAGGGAAGGAACACACAGTCAGACTTTAGTGGTTTTAATGAAATCTGAGTGTGTGTGTACCCTTACAGAGGAAGCACGGGACAGTGTTTCCTGGTTGAGGCTGAAACTCTGGATAAAGCTTTCTCCTCAGTGAGGCCCAGCACGTCTTTTAGATCCAGTTCCCACTTCATTTTTAAGCCTTTTTATGGATATTTTAGAGATGAGATTTTATCCAGGATGAACTGTTTTCTTCAACTTTTCAATTAAATTCAAGTTTATTTATATAGCGCCTGCTGTGGAAATTTTATACTTCATTACTTTAATCCTATTAACAAATGCATTACCTAATGCCTGAAAGCATTCACACACACACACACACACACACACACACACACACACACACACACACACACACACACACACACACACACACACACACACACACACACACACACACACACACACACACACAGTCACGTTGTAAGCCAGGGTTCTTGCGCTCCTCTGGCAGCCATGTCCTCGTCATTCCAAAAGTCAGGACACACCACCAAGGTGAGGCATCCTTCCAGTTTTATGGCCCTCGCCTCTGGAACAGTCTGCCAGAAGACGTCAGGGCCGTAGAGAGTGTTCTTGTTTTAAAGGCCAGGCTCAAGACCCACCTTTTTAGTATAGCTTTTAATTGATAACTATCTATTTTAGCCTGTTTTACCATCTTTTATATATTTTATCAGTGTTTTATTACTTACTCTTTTACTTAAATGACACATATTTTCTTATATATGAATTTTAACTTGTAATAATTATTAGTTTTAACCAGTATTTATAATCTGTTGTACAATATTTTTATAAATTTAAAAATATGTTTCTACTTGGTTATCTTTTATCAGTGTTTTTTATTTAAATCTTTATTTATCAGCTGTTTATGTTTAATTTGATTCTTAACTTGTTATCTTAGTCTCATTAGTAAACCAGTGTTTCCTCTGTGGGGGCTGGCAGCGGTGGGCTGTGGCGGCCGGGGTGCTTCTCGTGCCTCCTCTTGCCCAGGCTTCTGCTGCCAATCCTGCTGCTCCCGATGCAGTTGGCTCCTTTGATGGCATTTCCGTCTTCTTTGTTCCTACTACATCTGCACTCAGCCACACGCACGTGTGTGTGTGTGTGTGTGTGTGTGTGTGTGTGTGTGTGTGTGTGTGTGTGTGTGTGTGTGTACGTGTGTGTGTGTGTGTGTGCGTGCGTGTGTGTGTGTGTGTACATGTGTGTGTGTGTGTGTGTGTGTGTACGTGTGTGTGTGTGTGTGTGTGTGTACGTGTGTGTGTGTGTGTGTGCGTGTGTGTGTGTGTGTGTGTACGTGTGTGTGTGTGTGTGTGTACGTGTGTGTGTGTGTGTGTGTGTACGTGTGTGTGTGTGTGTGTGTGTACGTGTGTGTGTGTGTGTGTACGTGTGTGTGTGTGTGTACGTGTGTGTGTGTGTGTGTGTACGTGTGTGTGTGTGTGTGTGTGTGTGTGTGTGTGTGTGTACGTGTGTGTGTGTGTGTGTGTGTGTGTGTGTGTGTGTACGTGTGTGTACGTGTGTGTGTGTGTGTGTGTGTGTGTGTGTGTGTGTGTGTGTGTGCGTGCGTGCGTGCGTGCGTGTGTGTGTACGTGTGTGTGTGTGTACGTGTGTGTGTGTGTGTGTGTGTGTGTGTGTGTACGTGTGTGTGTGTGTGTGTGTGTGTGTGTGTGTGTGTGTGTGTGTGTTGGCATCTGCTTGGGAGCCAGACTGTAGGGATAAATTAATAAAATCTACAATGCATGGGCCGGTTTGGTCCAACATCCTGATGAACAAGGTAGTAGGAATGTAATCAGCAGGGCGTGAGGATGGTCTCATGTGTTTCTGGACGAGGTAAATGTCCTGGAAATCTACAGGAGTAAAGAGACCATGACTGGGATGATGGTGGTTGGATTGGGGGGGGGGGGGGGGGGGTTCTGACTTTGCTTAATACAGATAGTCACAAGTGCACATTTAGCACTCATATGACGCACTAAGAAAACATTCACTGTTGTCATTTAAAACTAAGATGATTGTGTTTAGGGTTGAATACTTGCTGTTTATGTTTTTTTTGTTAAAACATCTTTGGTTCATTCCTCTGATGCATAACTGGAACTGAAAGGAGTTCTCACAATGTTCTGTGGTACGATGAATAAATAGAAAACCTAAACATCCACAGATGTTTAAATTTATAGTCACAACAAAAAGTCTTTTCTTCTACATGTGTATTGTTACTAGTTGTAAGGTACTTTATAGAAATATGCATGAAGAGGACAGCATGTTGGCAATATGGGTCCATCTGAACAAAACAAGTGGGAACGGCAGTGATCATTTCAAATCGAATCCCAAACTTCTGGGATTGTGTCCGGCTCCATCTCTCATCAAAGATCTGAGTCTCAGCAGTTGCTTTAACAGAGTCAACAAAACTAGTTGATGAATTGTTGCAAGTGCAAGTTGCAGGTCAGAATAATGGATCTTTCTGTTCTTAGGACCCAAAATCGTGGACAGGGTGAAGGTAACTTGATTCAGACTTTACCTGTGGCGAAGCTTCTCTCGCGCCTCAAACTCAAAGGAAAATTCCTCTCCTGGTAGCACTTCTCTCCACAAGCTGACCTTGTGGGAGTCGTCATTTCCTGAACTGTGGATGTCAGAGATGGAGTCTGCACTGTTGCTGTGAGACAGCGCCACCCTGTGGAGAGAAAAGGAGCAACAGTTTTACAGAAGTTTCCTGAGTGAGCCAGCAGCAGGAACTTCCTTGGTCTGAAGCTGGCCTCTGCCCCACACGACTGTATTCAGAGTTCAGACCTACCTAGTGGGAGTTGTAGTCAGAGTGGCGAAGCGCATGGTGCATCCTGTGTGGTTACGCAGAGTGTAAGGCACAAATGGCTGCCTCCTCTTGGACAGCTTCATGTCTGCTGAGAAGATGTCAGAGAGGGTTTCAGACTCCTGAGCAGCAGCTTCAGCTAGAGGATACAGGGAGCCTGGTAATGTGCTTTACTTCACACAGAAAGCACCACAGTGGTACTCAATAGGGGCTCCCGTTTGGTGGTCCGCCGCACAAATGTTGAGTTGAGCTCAAACTACTTAAAATAATCATGTTTGCCAGGTTGCACCCACCAAAACCTGGTTCATACCAGTTTACTGGGTGCTACTGAGGGGCTGTGGCTCTTCAGAGACAGAACAGAACCCTAACCCTAACCCTGACCATGGGCAACAGTAACGTTACAACTGCAACTTAATGAATACAAAATTACTCCACTGTAAAAGTTGCAGTGGGCAAGGTGCATCACTCCTATTCTGACGACTCTGCACTGGTTACCCGTTAACTTTAGAGTCCTGACTAGAACCTTCAGGGCTCTACATGGTCAACCTCCTCCCTATACTACTGACCTGTTAAAGCCTTATTCTCCAGCCCGAGCCCTCAGGTCCACCCACCAGAACCTTCTAGAAGTTCCAAAGACCAGATATAAAAGTGGAGGTGATCGCTCCTTCCTGACTGTTGCTCCCCGACTCTGGAATTATCCTCCTTTATCCTTACGCAGCGTTGACAGTCTGGACACTTTTAAAAAACAGCTGAAAACCCTTTTATTTAAAGCTACCTTTACCTAAATATTTTAATTTTTTATTTTTAACTCTAATTTGTAATCTTCTTTCATCGGTTTACGAAATTTTATAATTTTATGAATTTATTTTTCTGATGTTAATCTACTTCTGCTTTTAGATTATTATACTTTTATGATGCTAGATGTTATTTTATTGTGATCTACGTGAAACACTTCGTGATTCTGTCTGTGATAACTGCTGTAGAAGTAACATTTACTTACTTACATTGTGGTTAGTCATCTTCTTAGTTATTTTGTTCTCTTTGGGGTGTTTATGCATGTTTATTGTGGCAGTTTGAGTTGTTCTTAGTTATTGCTTCGCTCAGTGTTGTAAAGATGTACGTATTTGTTGTCCTGCTGGCAACGTCAGTGAGGAGAGCAGTCGCAGGAATAGGATTGTTGGTGCGGTGGTTCACACAAGGCTCCGGTCTAAGCACTTTGAGTCCAACACTTGCTGTCTGCAGGCACATGGTGTGTGAGGCATGAGTTAGTTGATGCCCCGTGTTGCCGTCAACTTGACATGACAGCCACCACATTGGTAACATGAGTACAAAGGAAATCAAGTACTTCTTAAAAAACAAGCACGGTTTTTAAAATGGCTGTTCAGTAGTTGTTTGAAGTATCTTTGTTACTGTAACTGTGTAACTAGTACATTCAACTCAAAATGTCACTCTGTTTTGAATGCAGACCTCTAACTTTGTACCACTTGTGCAGCATTTATCACAAACTTTTGCAACTCCATAGCTTTCCACGTTGTAATTCCCACATTCCCTGGCTGGAAACATCTTCTAGAATAGTCCAAAGTATCATGTATGTAATATTAAACAGTAATACTCAAACGTTGCACTTGCCTCCGTTATATAATATGTGTGCTGATACAAGCTGATAGCCACAAGTTACTTGCATTGAATTATTTCAACGGGGTGACGGTGGCACAGGAGTGATGTGCTCACCCCGTACTCAAAAGGTTGCAGGTACGAGCCCCGCTCAGTCTGTCTCTGTCGTTGTGTCCTTGAACAAGACACTTTACCCTCCTCGCCTGCTGGTGGTGGCCGGAGGGACCAGTGGCGCCTGCGTTCGGCAGACTCGCCTCTGTCAGTGCGCCCCAGGGCAGCTGTGGCTACAACGTACTGTAGCTCATCAGCACCAGTGTGTGAATGGGTGAATGATTGGTTGTGTTGTAAAGCACCTTGGGGGGTTCCAGGACTCTAGAAGGCGCTATATCAAATATAGACTATTTACCAGTTCAATACTTAATAAAAACTAGTAAGGCATATTTAAATATTATATGTTGCAACAGGTGGTTCTGTTTTCAAGAATGCAATATTAAACAGGCTTAAAGCACATGTGCACACACCACCGGGGCTAACTTAGACATTACCTGCAGCTCCCTGGTAAAGCGTTGTGTTTTTAACCTCCTCATTAGAAAAAGTGTGAAGTCTAAAGGTGTAAAGTAAGAACTTCATGAGGGACTAGATGCAGCTGTGGCTCGTTAAATGCAATTGTGTGACTTTGGCACTTAAAGGGTTATTTTACAGTCCTCAGCAGGTCTTTCAGTTATAAGTCTGTACATTGATAATTAATGTATTCATTTTTCATTTATTATTATTTAATGTACACAACTATGGTCATGTGAAACATTTTACTTTGAGTTTTAGTTCTTATTCTTCAGGCACCCGTAGAGTTGAGACACTTCTCTTTTCTCCTCCCTCATCTTTTCCCAAGGCTCTTGTCCTGTCTGCCTACACAGCGCTTCTCTGCGTTCCTCCTGAAAACTACATGTTTATTAAATCATGGATTTGGTCAACTGGTCATTCAACGAGATTCTTTCAACAATGAGAGTGGGGTTCTCCAGCTTGTCCGGATGGAACAAACCCAGTGGGGTACATTTGGGAATAGGATATAATAGCCTGGCGATGCACCAACTGAAGGAGTCAAAGTGCTCTTCACATCCTTGATCTCCCTCCCGCCTGCGAACAACAGTCAGTGCATTAACATGCGCTCCAGAAAACCGAAGTATTGCCCTAAAAAGATGTTTTTTACATGCATGTAGTAATGCAGTAATGCGTTACTCTGGCTAACAGCGAACCAGTTCTTATCAAGCTGAAGCACCCAGATAATGCAGAAGCAATCCCAATACACTGCATGTAAACCCGTCAGCCGAGCTAATACAGGCTAGATGCCCACATTCCAGAAGTGACGAGACCGCGGAAGCGGTCCTCTGACAAGACCATCATCACAAAGCAGCATGCGTAACACCATAAAACAGGACAGTTCGTACCAAATAAGCTGTGCTGCAGCGTTGTACATGCCTTTAGCCATTGTGCAAATCCTATTTCAATTGTGTTTGCTTCACTCCCACCAGCCTCTGTTCACTGCTTGTGTTGCTATAACCTAACTGAAAGACATGAAGAGGTGCATGTTGCCACCTACTGTATCGGAGTGGAACCAACTTCATTTGAGAAGCCGTTTTCCAATGTGCTTGTAAGCTAGGATAAAGACTCCTAGCTTATTACAATAAGATCGACCTGAATCCACTTAGATTGGCATGACTTCCAATCATTCACCCTCCTCTGCCTCCTCATTCAGTCTTTATGCAGCACACCTGGTTCCTCTCATTAAGATCCAGCCAAGCCCTGTTTTCCCTAGCAACTTCAGTCTGCACCTCATCAACTCCATCTCACTTGTTCCTGTCATCAGCTTCATCCACTTCACCTGCTCCTGACTCCTCTGCTTATCACTCACACCTGCTCCCCCTGCTATATATTCACCAGTCAGCCACCAGTTCCCTGCCAGATTATTGAAAGCCCATGCAAGTAAATCTGCCAGCCATTCACCCTGCCTGATCTCAGCCTCCGGACCTTGTTTTCGCTCCTGACCCCTGTTGTTATGACCTTTGTGTTCCTGAGCTCCATTTTAAACCACCGCACCAGGGACAGCTCCTCGCTCTGGTCCCGCTGAGACAGGATCAGCACCATGGAGAGAGGCACGCACCCTTCTGCCGGCCCGCTGACACCAGCCGGGGACAATCAGCGCTCAATAGGACTTCTTATAAAAGACGAGACGCGGACGAAAAGGGGAGAGAGCGCTCGAGCGGGTCCAGAAGGAGCAAGAACGGAGAGCAGAAGAGGAGTCCAGTCACAGAGTTCGGGAGTTTAGAAGAAGGAGCGCAGAGCGGAACAGAGAAGCAAAAGCAGAGTAAAGAAGCGGTGTTCCGGAAGAGAGTTGCAGCCGGAGATCGTGGAGACGAGTCACATACACGATCCGTGGATTACCTGAACAAGAGAAGACAGATAACACGAGGATCTTTTCCTGGAGGAGAACCATCTGCTCGGAGAGAGAGAGACTGAGAGAACGGGAGAGCGTGAGACGCCGACCACGTTAGGAGCAGCACGGGACCAAAAGGAGGACAACATACCCAAGGGAGGGTATTATACGAGTGTGGGGCCTTGCCCAGAGCTTTAGTTATATTTTTTAAAAGACTAGATTAACCAGACCTCTGGCTTTATTATTTTCAAGGACCAGTTTTGCCTGACGGAGACAATTTTAGTTTAATAAACTCCTTTTGACCTTTTACATGTCCTCGTGTTTGCTCCCACCACACTTGTGTTGCCCCTCTTGGTAATCCTAGGCCTGGAGGGGTGTAACACCTGTCTTGAACTCTGCCTGCCACCACGACCTTCGCCTGTCTCTGACTCGGTCTCCGGCCTCGCCCACCTCTGGTAACTCCTCAGAAAATAAAGACTTTTTTATCTACTTTTACTGTGTTTGGCGTCCTCACGGGTCTTCTGAGTTCTGTTCGTGACATAGATGTCAGTCAGTGCGCTTGTGACCACACTGAGTGATCGAGCATATGCACTGAGGCTGCAGCTCTCTGAGGGAAACAGGTCCCCAGTGAGTCGTAGATGATGGCTGCTTAAACTGAGCCAGGATCCTCTCGAGATTTCTTCCTGTTAAAAGGGAGTTTTCCTCTCCACTGTTGCTGCATGCATTGGCACAGCAGCAACTCAGAAGGTAGAGCGGGTTGTCCAGTTATCGGAAGGTTGCAGGTTTAATCCCGGCTCTGACCAGAGAATGCTACTATTGTGTCCTTGGGAAAGACACTTAATCCGCCTTGCCTGCTGGTGGTGGTCGGAGGGACCGGTGGCGCCCGTGATCGGCAGCCTCGCCTCTGTCAGTGTGTCTCTGTCTAATGGTTATGTTGTGTCTTGTCTTGTTATGTCAAATCAAGGACGGGTTAGGGTTTGAACTGTAACTATGTTGTACCGGGACACTGGCACAAGGACAATAAAGATCCTTGATATAAACATTTT